TTTTACTGGTAGTCTACTGTATGAAGAATTTTTGGGTGTAATATGTCACAGTTTACTTTATTTTGCTATCCTCACTTACATAAATGAACTATAGTGCCCTGCACCCACTAGTATAAAAATATTAACAATTATATCTGGTGTCTAATCATTTTTTGTTTGACTGTACATACAATAATGCTAGAGGTTTTCTCAGAATTTACCTGACTTTACATAATTTTGGTGGATTTATAAAGTCAGTTCCCCTCAAGTTCATCCATATGTCATTTATCAATAATGTAATCCAACTTTTTTTTTTAATCCAATAGGATTTATTTAATGCTGCCTTCAGGTGCTATGGTGATTATCATAAATATGAGTTTAGAAATTGGACATGAACAGCCTCAGAAGTCCTATTTACAATGAGTGTCTGAGTTTGGCGGGCCATGGCAGAGAAGAGAAGAGAAGAGAAGAGAAACATTGATTCATTAGGGGGAGGGACATTCTCATTCTAGAGCATTTAATTGGACAAAAAAATCTGTCAAAAAATCAATTAGTGCTGAATGAGTCATCAATATTTTGGTAGATTTTCCCAGAAGAGAAAGACTGTAGATGCATATTAATGATCTAGTGAATTTAGTCAATATTTATAAGAAAGCTAGCATATACTGTAGTGTTGAATTTAAAGTTAAAAGAGGATACTTTTGTTTTGATAGCACGAATTAATCGCAAACTAAATTTGGCTGTGAAAATACCCCCAAAAGATAATTTAAGCTATTGTTGTGTAAAATGTTTAGGCTACAATGGCCTAACACAAAGTATGGAAAATAAAAGAAGATAATTTGAGAAACATCTCAGTATTTTTTGTTAAAAAAACTAGTGACCCAAACAGCTTGGCCAACAGTATTCAAAATACCTTCTTTTATGTTGTGCATAAGAAAGTAAGTCATTCAGGTTTGAAACAACATGAGGGTGAGTAAATTATGACATTATTTATTTATTTATTTCTGGTGAACTATCCCTTTAATGTTTTTTATTGATTTTTTTTAAATAAATTAAATGATACGCTAAATAATAAACTATATCTGCCAGCAGGTGACGGTAAGTGTCTTTATGAGTCATTCATTCATTGGTTTCATTCAAACAGCTGATTCATTCAGGAATTCAGTGAACGGCTCTCTCTATGAATGGAGATATATCAGCTGCAGACCCGCAACACTATTGTATGAATGGGCTGCTGAATCATTGGTTCACACGATTCGTTCAAAACGTGGATTCATTCAGAAACTAAACACCGCTGTGTGGCTTTATATAGGTAATATTTTCGTTGGCAAAACTGAGCAAAAACAGACACTATTATGTTTAAAATATAACACAATATTAACTTCTTATTTACTGAACTGTTGTATAAAATTACATTTTCAATCGTGTTCTTAGTGACAAAAACAGTACTTGTGTGATATTGCTCTGGCTGCTGGTGTGATATCGCTTATCATATAATATGAGACAAAAACTCATACAGAGGCATTTTTTTGCCCCAATATCTTGATTTTTAGGGCATAACTGCATTCATGGAGTTGTTGCCCTGCATAATGTTTGTCAACAGTCAACTGTATGAACTGTAAGATGACGTACAGGTCTGGGGGCGGGGCCAGTGCGCTAACTGCTTTAAAATATTTTATATTTGAGTTATTTTTTCATAACTAATTAATTAAGTTAGTAACGCGTTAAACTGACAGACCTAATATATATGTGTATATATATATATATATATATATCCTATAGTGAAACATTGTTTTAAGTATGATTCGATGGGATAGAAATAAATGCCATTTGATTTCTTATTTTTCATTGTATGTTTTATGTCCAGGTAACATTAGCCTACTTTGTAAATCAATATGAACGATATCAATAGTAACTGTAATTAAAGCTGCATAAGAAACGGAGCAATTCCAATAGGGTCCTCACACCATCGGTGCTCGGGCCCTAATAAGCGCTCGGTTGTTCTAGTAAAGCCCTAGTTTTTGATTTGGGAGGATGAGACCGAAGCCTTGAGCTGTTTGTGCGCGCTAATAACGCGTGCTGCTGGTTTTCACCAGTGGAAATCCTTTCATTCAGCGTTGCGCGAGCGCGGATCGAGCTGTTCTCTCCTTACCGACACACACACACACACACACACACACACACACACACACCGAGCCTCCAGCATGCTCGTACTTCTGATGTAATGAAAGCTCCGTCCTGACAGCATTTGTTCACTCGGTGCAGAAATGCAGGAGCGAGTGAAGCGCCGTGGAGCGGCGGTGCTGCTGACGCTGTGCGCGGTGCTCGAGGTGAGTCCGTCCGCTCTCACACAACTAACGCCTTTCTCACGCGTCTCGTCAACTTCATCGTTTCGTTATTACCCGCTGTTTACAGCCGGATTTATGCTGTAGCGTTCCTAAAGAGCCGCGTAACCCGCGTACGGTGTTTTATATACATATGTAATGAAGCGCTAGTTGAGCCTTTGTCTCTGTACAATAAAACACACTGGAGAAATACTGTAAATATCACGGTGTTGTCTCAGGTCAGAGTCAAAGCAGAGGTGCGATATTCTTTATGGATCACCTGAATTGTGTTTAGAACAGTTTTAGGGATTGTTTAACTAGATTGTGTGTGTGTGTGTTTCCACATATATATATATATATATATATATATATATAATATTATTATTATATTATGCTAAATTTATGCATATATGTATAATACATGCATTCCTTCTGAAATGCATGTTTCTTTTATTTTACGGTTTAAAATAAGATTTTAAACTGTCTGGTTTAATCTTATTTGATTTTATAGCATGCTGATTTGATACTGCTTGGTTTGTTTGTTTGTTTTTTTATTTATTAATTTATTGTACACTCAGCTGGTTTGCTATGATCTGATTTAAAGTTTTGCTATGGGTTGGCTGTTTCATTTCCAAATAACTTTCCAACCTTTGATATGTACAGCATTTACATTTCCAAAACTTTTGCAAAGCTAAGGCATCAAGCCTCATCAGAGCTCCTTACTGTACAGCACATATTGCGTCTGCAGCTACAGTAATGGTATTTCACCTCATCACTGCCATCATTATACAGGCCTGTCAGAGAAGAGAGAGACACTTTGTCATAAGCACTTAGACGGGGATGAATCAATATGCCAGCTTATTCTCTCATAAATTGCATAACATCAATTAAATCCAGACAGGTAGTGTTGATGGTAGCTCTGATTCTCACAGACATTCACGCATGTTGTTTCTCAGTAACGATGTGCTCGTTAGAGCATGGGCTGCTATTACTGGAGTCAGTGACTGGGACACATTCAGAGCTCTACACAACTTGAATCGAGAGTTATGACTTATATCTGCCTGATGTACCTGCATGTTTTATTGCTCATATGCACTTGTGCCACAGATGTTGATTGTATTGTATGATCTGTAGAAGGCATTTTGAGTAGTGCTATGAATTTATTTGTTGTTGTTTTACAGTCCTATAACTGCAAATAAGTAATATGACTGGCTTCTTTTTTTAGCCAACCTTAAGATTTTGTGAAAGACAAACTTTTAATGCTCAAAAATGTGAAACTTGCTTGTAGTTATCCAGGTATGTAGGGTCAAACTGTATTGTATAACCAGTGACTGTAGTTAGTTTAAATTAAACTTTTTGGAAGCTGTCATGTGCTGTTGTGATGTGATATTCTGCATCTAAAACCATTATAAACAGCATTTTTTAAATTAATCTTTTCGTATTATTACAAACACATATTATTTCAGGGCCATTTGGACTTTTTAAAATTCATTTGTCACACGATGAAATTGTGTAATGAAGGTAAAAGGGTATTAAAAAAAGGTTTTTAAAAAACTTGGTGACAGGACCTGAGATATGCATTGTTTAAAAAAAAAAATTATAATAATAATAATTAAATTTACAGGAAAAATTGTAGCTGTGGTTGCCAGAGCTTCAGCATAAAAAATGGTAGCAATATTTAAAATTGTATAGATTGGAATTAAATTATTGAATGTTTCATTAACTTAAATGTTAGTATACCAAAATACTACATCTAAAAATAATTTTAACCTTAAATCCCTAAAAACCCTAGTGTACATAACTGATATGAATATGATATGACACCTAAAAAAATTATTTAAAAATCATAATTGTATCTTTTTAAGAAGAAAAATGTTAGCTGTCACACAGGGGATTTTGGCTATGCCAAAAAACTGTTAATTTAGAAGTATTTTACCATAAAATTATACAACATAGAATTAAATCTATCACAGTTTTTTTTTTTTTTTTTTACTGTAGCATTTTTTACCATCTTTTACCGTTAAACCTAGGGATGCACAATATTATCGGAATCGGCCGATAATGGCTTAAAATGTAAACATCGGCATTGGTCCGATATGTACAATTATGCCGATATGTCTTGCCGATAAGACGAATAACTCACATGTGCTCAGGGTGTGCTAGTGATGAGATCAAGTCAGCATTGTGGTCATTCTTTTGCCTGAATGGTGATTAGATTCACTGTTTTTGATCGCCGCATTTAAACTGAGAATGCATGAACAGAACGACGCGTTCGGTGTGCAATAGATTCAGCAGTCTGCATGCAGCGGTGGCCTAATGCCCGTCAGGTGAGGAGTTTTAATGCTCTAGGGGGCGCTGTTGGCCTACTTGTCATAAAATGAAAATAAAATACACAAATAACATTAAGATTGTATTTCTGATTAAATAAAGCATTAACTGATGTCGTAAAATCACGAGTATGTTTTGATTTAAAGGTCAGAAGATATAGGTTACATGAATAAAAATCACAAACATTACACTTGTAAATTAAATAATTTTATATATAGCCTAGATTTATTTATTAAAGTGTAATGTTTTTTTGTTTTTGTTTTTCAAACAAATTATGAGCTCTGAAAGATTTTCAGAATGTTTACAACTCTTGCTTTAGATCATCTACAAATGTTAAATCTTTAAATAAAATGTTAAGGTTACCACTGCATCTGGCTGAAAACAGTGATTTATGTATAGTTGATTTATAATTATTTTCAAAGCTTTCAATGTACTCTCATTATAAAAGAACTGCATTGTTGTTTATTTAATTCTGACAAATAAGTTTTTGTTAAAAACTAACCAAAATTAAAAATAATTTCTTTAGAATCTCTGCACAGGAGAGACTTGGTGTTGTTTCCAAACAAAAGGAAATATATCGGTATCAGCATCGGCTATCGGCAAAAATGAGTTGGAAAAATATCGGCATATCGGATATCGGCAAAAATCCGATATCATCATCCCTAATTAAAACCAATTCATTTTTTTTAACTCTTTCCCTTATATCTAAATTAAAATTTAAATGATGTTGATTACAAGAACTGCATCAACTGCTTCTGTGTAATTGACTGTTCTGTTGTGCACACTTTAACCTAATCTAATAAGAAGCATTGTCTTGTGCTGCAGTCAGTGTGTCAGTTGCACTCATATCCAGCATGCTGCTGTGGTTTGGCTCTGTTGAGGAGCGCTTTAGCCGCATCGATTCCCGTCACCGCCTTCAGTGACATTGAGCAAAGGCATTAGCTGCAGACTGCAAGAACAGCAGGGAGTTTAATTCGGCGTTTTGTGTGGCTTGTAGCACTGATACAGGGATTTGCTCACTTGGTCCTTTGAATCTATATTTACCAGAGACAAAGGTTTCAGCCTAATGCCCTGGTTAATTCTCCATTAACAGCCACTCTCCCTCACTAAACAGCAGCCAATGTAATTTCAGGAGGATTTTTTTTTTTTTTTGTATAAGCAATGACATTATTGAAGGATGACACTGGAGTGAAAACATAAACAGCTTCTTGAAAAGATGTGCAATTTATAGCTTGTTTGACAATGCTTTGTTTTGTTTTGCATCGGCTGTCTGTGCTTCATCTGATCTAGTGTGTAATCTCAGCATTGTTTCCAGGTTGACGTTCTGTCCAAGAGAAGAAAATGTAGTTTAAAACTCATTTTCCAAGTTCTTAGAAATGTGATCTTTGTATTCATATTGATAAATTTTTAAAAACTTGAGAAAATAATCAGATTTACAGTGCATGACTATACAGAAACATTTCACACTATTTGGCAACCCTTTCTATCATACTTTATATCAGTGTTTCCCAACCTTTCTTTAGTCGCGGCACCCTTTGGAAATTTTAACAAACTTGTGGCACCCTACAAAATTAATTTTGTCACAATATTTGAATTTCTAACTTCGTTATGATAATTTGAAAAGTATAGATATTCGGTACAACAGGGCAGAACTGCAGAATATGTCATACAGATATTATTAATATTATTAAAACATTTTGTCCATCAATGGTGGCAATCAGTAGGCTAATTTCTAATGAAGAGACCAATTTATATGACAGAAAATTATAGAAATTAATACTTTTATTTAGCAAGGATGCTTAAAATTGATCAAAAGTGATGATAAAGGCATTTATAATGTTACAATTTATTTCTATTTCAGATAATTAGTGTTCATATCGATATCGGAATTATATCGTATCGACCAAAATTAAGAAATATATCGTGATATCAATTTTGGCCATATCGTCCAGTCCTACTTAAAATACAATTGACAGTAGATATCTTAATAGTTATTTTCAAAACAGTTATATGTATATATATATATATATATATATATATTCTGAAATGAATCGCAATCAATCCCACCTAACATTAAAGTTTTAAAATATACTTTTACATTGCAATAATTTCCCATTCAATTTTCAAATTAATGTAGAAACAGCATGAAGACAGTATATTTTTTATATTTGTTTAATGGCATCTTTTTTTATGACTGAAGACGAGTATTATTGAATAATTATATTTAGCATTACAGTATAATTGAGAACAATCAATTTTAACATTTATTAGACTTTAAAAAAATAACTTCTAATTTAAGTGAAATTAAAACAATCTTCACATAAACACATTATAATAAATGTCATATGTACCTGTGGCCTTCAGCAGAAATATACAAAACTTAGAATAAAGTTATCGAACACTAAATTCTAAATTAAATACAGATTAATCCTTAAAGCTACAACAGTTATTGATTTCCCTGTTTTTTTTTTGTTTTTTTTTTTGTTTTTTTTGATGAACAGACATCACAGCAGCTGGTTATTCGGTTATTTTGGCTGCTGTTACTTTAAGAGCTGCTGCTGCTGAACATGACGCGGATCTGACACGCATCATATTTTCTCTTAACTCTCTTTACCTTTTCTGACCCACTTCAGGTCTTAAAGTCTCTAGTAATGAGCTGACGAGTTGAATCGGGTGTG